GAGTTTTGTTATATTTAAATATAATAACTATATAGTTTTCATAGGTCAGACTTTTGGAAAAAGTTGGTGTGAGGGATCATCAGAAAGAAAACATGAAAATTTTGTTTTTGAGTTTTATTAAATAATTGAGTATATGTATAATATTCCAATTATTTTGTTTAGTTTGTAATTTGTAGTAGTAGAGTAGTATATTGGAGAGTGTTTGAATAGTAGATAAACTGTCTAAATGAATATAAATTTGATAATTGGCAGATAGGATGAGAAATAGAAGAATAAGTGCTGCTAATTCCACTTATGTTAAGTTTGGTGCATGAGTTATAGAAACATTAAATTTAATTTGTATATCTTTTTCAAGAATCCAAGTGATGTCTGTTGAGATGTTATTTGTTTGTAAATTAAGTATAGAAGCATCTGTATAGAAGTTTAGATTGGTTGGTTCCAGCAATAGGATTTTTTTATAAAGATCGATAAGTTGGTTTTGGTAAGTAAAATCTGGTATTGTATTTTGTATTAAAAGAATTTCTAAGAAAGGTATAAAGAGGGAGGATAAGAATTGAAGAACTAGTTTATAGAGCTCTAAATAAATATTTTGAAGTACTTGAATTTCTTGGTTGTTGATGTTAAGCTCAAAGTGTTGTTGTTTTTTTTGTGTTTTGTATTTTAAGTTAATAGTATTTTTATAATTGATTTGAATTATTATTGATATAGAAGAAATGCAAATTGTGTTGAATATTGAATTGATAATTTAATAGTTTTGAAAGAGTAGTAATGAGTTGGATTTGTTTGTTATTTTGTCTATATGCCAGTTTGAAGGTGAGGTATGAATTGTCCATATATTTTTGATGTTATCAGATTGAGATGTGATTAAATTAAGTGTATTTAAAAATGGATTTATTGGTAGAAGTTGGATGTTGAGCCATATACATGTTATAGGAGAGGTGGATTTTGGTTTGTGAGTATTTTAAACTAGCTTGGAATAAGATCTCATGAAGATTTGAGAGTTTTTAAATATATGTTTTTCCAAAAAAGTAAATTTAGATTATCAGCTGTAAGAAGTTGTTTAAGAAAAAGGATTTTGTTATTTTTAAGACTTGAAGTTGTTAAATTACTTGAAAGTGAAATAAAGTTGTAAATATTATTTAGTTGATTAGTTTGTTTGTAAGTTGACAGTTAAGTTAGATAGAAGTTATTAAGAGATATATTGTTTTTATATAAGTAATAAAGTTGGGATATTATGGTGAAATTTGTAGTTTTTTTGTAATTTTTTAAAATTATATCTTTTGTTAGAAATGGTTTCCATATTTTAGAAAGCTATTCCTTAATTCAGCATATAGTAATTTGGTTTAGAAGTTCATTAGTATTAAAGCATCTTTCTATATTGATACTACTAACTTGTAGAATTTTTTTGTTTAGTATAAGAATATTAAGTAATTGTGGATTTGTAAGTATATCATTGTTTGTATTTATGAATAGGTGAAGCATGTATTTTGTGTATTTTGTTAAGAGACTTGATAATTATTGAAGCTGGTTTTGTGAAGGAGAGTAGATTTGAAGTAAGTATTCAATTGATGATACAAGAATAGTATTAAATAGTTGAGATATTTGTATAGTAATAAGTTTTTTGTATTGGATCATGTGAATAAATTGAGAAACTTAGCTAAAAATTTTTTTAAGTATAGATTTAGTTGATCCTTTCTTATCTAAAAAAATATCTAAGTATCTAATTGAGTTGTTGAATTTACGAGATATAATTAGTTGGTTATTAAAGTTTAGAGAATTTGTATCTTGAATAGTGTTAAGTAGTGTTTTTTTATTAGATAAGATATAAATAAGATCTGATTTAGATAGGTTAACTTGTATGTTATTTAGTTGGTAAAGTTCAGATATGTCATCTAGAATAGTTTGAAGATTATTTTTGGATTTACAGTACCATATTGTATTATGCATAAAAACAAAAGGAGATATTATTATGATAGATGGGGTAGTTGAAAAGATTGTTTCTAATGAAGATTGTAATGAAATTTTAAGGAGTTTTAAGTTGTATTTTGAGTTTATATACCTAAGTATAGAGTCATAGTAAATTTTTCAGAGTAGTGGAGAATAGGTTTCTTCTTGCTTTATGCCTGAGTATAGTGTGATTGGATCAGTTAGACTATAGGCAATAATTGCTCTGGCTTTTCTGTCTTGATAAAAGAATTTAATAAAGTTTAAACCAGTCTGGGTGATGCCAATACATTTACAGGCATCTAGTAATCATTGAATATTGATTTTGTCAAAGGCCTTGGACATGTTTTGAAAGAGTATCCATGTCTCTTTGTTGTTGGTTTTATAATATTTAATTGTATTTAGTAATATTTGTATAGAAATATGAGTTGAGCTATTCTTAGTTGTTGCAAAATTTAAGCTACTTAATAGGTAATGCTGAGTGATAATTTGATCAAGACAGATTGTGAATATTTTAGTAAGACATTTTTTTATAGGTTCAATCAGAGAGATAGGTTTGACTTAGTTTAAAGTAAAGTCCCATAAGGATTTTTTTGGAATTAAAAAGATATTTGATGTTTTCTATAATGTTGGGATTTGTTGTAATGTAAGACATTTTGATAAAAAGAGTCAAATTATGTTTTGACCTTTGGAGTTTAGATGTTTTAAATATCCATAGTTAGTTTTAGAAGAACTGGCAGCTTTTTGGTTAGGGAGGTTATGTATAACTTTGTTCCACTCTTCTGAAGTAATTTCTAAGAAAAGGTTAACAAAATATTGTTCATTTTCTGAATGTGGTTTGTAAAGTTCATAATATTTTGTATTTTCATAAATTGGTAAATATGGTAGTTTTTAAAAATAATCTTGAAAGTAGGATTGTAAAGCTTGTTTTATTTCAGTTGGTTGGGTAGTAAGTATATTATTAGAAAGGAGTCAATCTAAGTTTATACTATTATTTGGTTTTTAATTTAAAATTTTAAGTTGTTTCATTTTGGATTAAAGAAAATAGCTAATTTATGTAACTCTTCAATTTTATATTTAAGAGTTATTTTTTTATTAATTATTTTCTTAATTTGTTTTAAAACTTCACTATTATGTTGACTTATTTTACAATGTTCTTTGAGAGTTTTATACCAAGGAATTACTAAATGTAAAATAAGATTTTTAGAAAATTCTAAACAGTTACTTGTTTCTTTAAATATTTTTAAAAAATTAATTAAATCTAATAAAATATCAAAATCAATATTTTCAATTCTATATAATTCATTTTTATTATTAAAAATATCCTTAATTAATTCAAATTAATTATAAACTGATTTTAATATTTCTAACTTACTATTTCATCTTGTTTCAAATTCTTGTTTTAAAGATTTTTCCAATTTTAAATACTAAAAGCTTTGTTTAAAATATGTAACTAAAGATTTGCATTCCTTAATTGTTTAATTATTGAATAATATTTTTCAAAATTTTCATATTTAAAAGCAGATTCTAAAATAGTATTAATTCTAAAAATATAATTTAAAAATTATTAATCTAATTAAAATATTAAAAAATATAATTAAAAAATATAATTAAACAAATACCTATAAGCAATATATGGAATATGTTTATAATATTTAAAAGCAGTAACAAAATTAGTACCAGAATCTGTAATAAATACAAAGTTTTTCATTGTTCTATTTGGTACAAGATTATAATTTTTTAAAATTTTAAAAATAACTATTCTAATATTATCTGCTATATGACTAATAATAGAAAATTTTAAAATTGCTAAAATTTGTTTATTTAAATTCCAATTTTCAATATAATGAATAGTAAGTGAAATATAACTTAATTTTTTATAATCATCAGTTCATATATCAGTAGTAAAAGCACTATCAAAATTATAAAAAATATTTTTTAATTTAAATCCTAAATCTATTTAGTTTTTTTAGCACTTTTTATAATATTTCTAGATATAGTTGTTGGATATAAAAATAAATTATCAATTTGAATTTGGCCAAATTTAGTACCAATATTAATCATTTTCTGGAAAAAATCTCTAAATCTTTCATCTTCAATAATTTCAAAAGAATGTAAATCTTTATATACAAAATTAACTAATTTATTTGTAGTTAATTTCTTAATAGTTGTTGGAATAGATACTTTAGATAAAAAAGCAGTAATTTTTGATTGTGAACTAAAAGAAATACATTGATGATGTAATAAATGTGAGGTACCAGATTTTTAAGAATAAGTAAAAATATGTTCACATTTTTTATATAAAATATAACCAATATAATTATTTTTAAATCTACAATTTTAAAAAAGGTTTTCCAAATTTCATTTTTTTTATCTTATTCTTGAAAAATAAGTTTTTTGTTTTTTAATTTTAATTTAATTTGTTCAATAGATAAATTTTCAGACATATTAAAAGTTTTAAAATTTAGTTTTTTTAAAATTAATAAGTTTTATACTATTATAAAAAGATAAAAAGATAAGAAATATTAATTTTTTGAAAAAGCAAAAGCAAGTCTATTTATATTTTTTAAAAACTTAATAAAATTTAGATTTTGAGGCTTTAATAAATAATAAAATTTTTAACAAATAAAAAGGCTTTTATTTATTAAAAATTTTAATAAACAAAAAGGTTTTAATAAACAAAAATTCAATAAACAAAAGTCTTTAATAAATAAAAAACCTTTAATAAACAAAAAGATTTTAACAAATAAAAAGCCTTTAATAAATAAATAAAATTTT